TTTTTTTTTTTACAAATACAAAATATTATTTTTCTATAACCATTTTATATCTATGCAAATGTGAAATTGTTGTGGTCAAACAAACTTTTTCCTTTCTAAAATGTCGGACGATGAATTTAAGCTCCTGCTTATTTTGAAGATGAAAAATCGAATATCACACTACTTTCCAATGGAAAACACGCACTTCCATATAAATGTTTAATTTAAATTATTTAAGTACAGGTTTATATTTACAATTTAAAATTTATCTTACCAAATTTTAAAACTGAAAGATACTCAATTAACCATGATAATACCGTGATGGTCTATAATTTATATATATGAAAAAAAGTTAAAAGTTTTGTTTGTTTGTTTCAATAGAAGATGCCATTAGAATTGGGAGGAAATAATCATTTCATTTTAAGAAATTACCATTCCATCCATCAAACTTGATGCTGAATTATTGAAGATTTCTAGAATAGTTTATGTCCTCCACATCAAAAGATTTACAATGATGTACAGACTTGAGATGATCCATTAATTGATCCAGCGTGGAGTATATACTGGCTGAAGTATCGTGTGTTTTGTCATCCACCATGAACTGATGGCAACAGCCATCGATTTCAATGCAGCTAATCGCTTTACACTTTTGTATCCCAGCGTCATCCATTATTTTCCTGATCTTTTTCATGTCATCCCATCTTTGAGACTCCGAATACATGTTTGAGAGAAGCACATAAAGGCCAGAGTCATATCGTCCCAACTCTAGCAACTGCTTCATGATTTGCTTTGCAATCTCCAGATTCCCATAGGTCCTGCAAGCACTAAGCAAAGCACCCCAAACTACAACGTCTGGTTTAACAGGCATCTTTTGTATCAGGGTCACTGCTTCTCCTATGAATCCCCCACGCCCTAAAAGATCAACCATGCATGCATAATGTGCAACATTTGGAGAAATCCCGAACGTAGAACTCATCAATTCAAAATAATATCGCCCCATGTCCACTAGACCACTGTGACTACAAGCAGAAAGTAACCCTGTGAAGGTAATCTCATCGGGACACAGCCCACTGGCTTGCATCCTCCTGAACGTCTCAATTGCTTCTTCTCCAAAACCATGCAAAGCAAGTGCCCCAATAATAACGTTCCATGACACCACATTCTTCTCAGGCATCCCAAAGAAGATGTCCATAGCAGTATGAAGAGCACCACATTTTGCGTACATGTCTATTAGGGAGTTACAGAGCGTCACACTCACTGTAATATTATTACCACAAATGTAATCGTGGGCTTGTTTTCCCAATGCCAGATCGCCCATGTGACTGCAGCATGAAAGAATGTTAACAAGAGTACCATCGTCAGGAATCACATCTGAAATGCACATTCTGTGGAAAAGTTCCATAGCTTCCGTGTAAAGCCCTTCTTGAACAAGGCACCAGATTATTGAATTCCAAGAAACCACGTTCTTCACAGGCATCTGATTAAAAATTTGCACAGCGTTATCAATAAGACCATGATTGGCATAAGCATTGACCATACATGTCCAAGAAACAACGTTTTTATCAAGCATTCTATCAAAAACACGTTTAGCATATTGCAAATGCCCGCACTTGGCATACATGTCTATTAGGGCATTCTTCACAATTGAATCAATTTGAACATCAGTAGTAACGATATAAAGATGAACAAATCTTCCCAAATCCAAATTACCATTCTTTGAGGAAACAGAAAGCAAGCTAACAAAGGTGAACACGTCAGGCTGTACTCCCTGATGTTGCATTTCCTCTAACAACATAACAGCACCAGAACAGTGGCCAATTTTAGAATACCCAGCAATCATAGAATTCCAGGATACCAGAGTCCTGTCAGAAATATCATCAAACACTTGCCGTGCACTTGGTATTTGACGGCAAGCAACATAGACAGTCAAAATTGAATTTTGCACGCATGCATGACACCTCATTCCGAGTTTAATGGCCTGAGCATGAACACTAACAGCTTCCCAATAGAAGGGTTTGGCAGCGCAAGCTTTGAAAACAAAGGGGAAGGTGAATTGGTTTGGCATAAGGCCCGCCCTCACCATTTGGCGGTAGAGCAACAAAGAATTTATTGGATCATCGATATTCGAATAACCCCTTATCAAATGATTGTACATGAATTTATTGGGTTGGGGAATTTGATCAAACAGGAGGTGTGCATAACGGAGATCTCCCTCTTGAACGCAAAGAGAGACTAGCTTGCCTAGGGTGACAACTTGGTCAGCAAGTCCAAGGAGGATGATTTGGGCATGTACAAGCTTGAGTTGTCTGAAGGAGGTGCTCTGATCCAGGAGATGGTGAAGGGTTTGATGAGTGGGTGACTTCAACTTGTGCCATATGGTTGTGCTGATCTGTGTTTGTAGAGAGCCAACGCAGAAAAGGCGGGAACCAACGGTCGCGTGTTTCAGTTTCAGAGTGGAGAACATCAAATAGAATTATCAAACCCAGTAATACTGAGGTACCAAATGTTCTTGTATCAATCCTATGTATTCATTTTTCTGTCGTTAATTGAAAAAAAAAACATAGACGAATACGCAAGTTAGATATGGACCTAACACCATGCTTTCCTTTCATGCGTTAAGTATTGTTGTTTTCGAAACATAATAACGTTTAAAACTAAATAATAAAATGAAAATTAATGATTAATCAAACACAAAGATGTTTGAATAAATTGATTATTGCAATATTTGTCATAATTTTTTTCGTGCTTCAAACATAAAAGCAGCAGGGCTAAATGTTTACTATACATAAGTATTTATGGACGAAGTGAATACTAAAATGTTCATACAAGGTAGGTTTTGCCATCACTTCACTTAATAGTTGGTTGTTAACTACTTGTATTTGTACATTATAAGTGAGTAATTATCTTACTCATCATGAATAATTCTCCTGTGGATTAACCGAATCTTACTTATTATATAATGTTATATTTTATCAGATTATAAAGTAAGAACTATAGAAAGATGTAACATGAGAATAAAACACTTGGTTTTGAATAATTAATATTATAATTGATTAATTCATTAAAAAATTTAGGTTTGTATTTATTTTAATTTCCTCATCAAGTATTATCTTAACCAAATTTCTCCTTAATTTTTATAATTAATAATGTGGATCATTTAAAAAAAAAGATAGATTCAATTTCAGCCCAAAAAAATTGTTAAAAGTAAAAAAAAATACTTATAAGATTCAATAGTTTAATCGTAAGTAATAATTACAGTTGAATAACACAAGATATTGTATATAATGTGCGTAAGGTTGAGACTAAGATCAGGTTTGAGCTTTCGTTTTCTCCATTCTTTTGTGAGGACGAAATTATATTAGTTTTCTCTTGTGTTGAATGCATCGATCATTCCAAATACGAAAGTAATAACACCGTATCCAAATGTCCATGTTCAAGAAACTGATCCAACCTCGGATGTCATGACAGACTCTCCAACATGACATTCCGTTTATGTTTAAGAACCAATAGCTTATTTTACGACAGCTTTGTAGAATACGCGATTGTTTCCTACAATCTAAGATAGGTTCCAACAACAAGTATTCATAGGCAATCAGATTGCCACAAGTGAGTATGAATTCTCGAAAATGTAACTAGAGAGAATTTAATTTTGGACATTATTATAATCGAAGTCGTTATAATATACATACATGGTAACGCTCTGAGTGCTTCGCAACAAGTTACAAGAAAATAGAATTACAGCATAAAAAAACATGTCTATGACTCAAGCTGCGCATACCAGACACCTTGGATCTTCACATCCTTAGGAGCTTTAGCCCCCAAATCAGTATCAGAAGGCTGAATACTCTCAAACACCCCAATAACCTCTCCAGTCTCAGGCTTGGTCTTGGTCACACTCAAGGTAATTTTCCCTTTGGAAGATGAAGCACTTTTGTTGTTCTCCTTTGCAAGCTCCTCCTCATCTCCTCTGCCACCAGCAGGCAAAGCAACAGCATTGTCATAACCGGTTGAGGCACCCCTTCCCTTGGGGTCCAAGAAAGAGGAACCACGGTAAGAGGGAACAAGGAAGTCCCCACTGAAGCTTTCTGGTTTCCCAGTGGCCACCAACTGCTTGATGGTGAAGAGGAACGGCACACGCTCTCCCCCGGGAAGCTGAACAGTCACAGCAGCGTAGTCAATCCCGTCTTTCTCCTCGAATTTCACCGTTCCGTCGGGTGAAACCTCGAAGGGGCCCTCGATCTCGTCGAGGGTGTAGGTGAGACGGGTCATGAGCTTGGTGTTTTGGAACTCTAGAGGGGCGTTCTTGGCCACACCCTCTGCCTTCACCGTGAAGGAAGTGGGTTCCAGACACAGCTTCTTGGCGTTGTATTTGCCTGCCTTGAAGGCGAATGAGTCCACTCCACCATCGATGGTTGGGCACTGGTTAGCAGTTCCAGTTCCCTTCACTTCCAGATATGTCTTGCTCTGGATTTCGTCGAAGGTTAGCCTCTTTGGAACACCTTCTGCACTTGCTCCCTGAAATTTCACACTCACTTCTGTTATTCATTCATTCCTACTTTTATTACTTGAATAATTTGCTGAATAAGCAATCCTACAAATACCATTTCTCATACAACATTTCATGAAATTCTAACTTGGTATGCATGGTGTGAATGAATGGAAATAGTGATGCTGGTTTAATTTGTTTGAATAAAAGGGCAGTAACTGAAGATGGTAAAGGAGAGAGAAAGGAAAAGCAAGTAAAACATACAGAAACTAGGAGAGCCGAGGTGGCAAGGGCGAATCCTGCAAGTTTGGTGGCGTCGGCGCATTTTTGAGCCAGGTCTTTGAGATCAGACTGAAGAGAGCAGGTGAATTTAGGTCCGGCGGGTTCCAAGCCGAAAGCCTTAGAGATGCATTGAGAAGATTTGAGGTTGCGGGAGGTTAAGCCCACCTTGGTGGGTTGCATGAAGGTAGCTGCAGCTTGTAGTGAGGCTGCCATTGATGCTGGTGCTAGGTGCAGCCACCAAAGTATTTGTGTTGATATTGAAAGATTTGCAAGTGGTTGTTGTGAGTGATGAATGGCAGAAAATGGAGGCAATAGGAGTATTTGGTGGCTGTGGTGCGAGTAAGATTNACACGAGTTACTATAGGCAGTCCTTCAGGTTCTCGCTACAATTTGAATCAACATTTGTTATTTTAACACCCAAAATTTTTTACTTTCATTAACACTATCACTCATTATTTTTCTCTTTCTGTTCTTTTTTTTTTTACAAATACAAAATATTATTTTTCTATAACCATTTTATATCTATGTAAATGTGAAATTGTTGTGGTCAAACAAACTTTTTCCTTTCTAAAATGTCGGACGATGAATTTAAGCTCCTGCTTATTTTGAAGATGAAAAATCGAATATCACACTACTTTCCAATGGAAAACACGCACTTCCATATAAATGTTTATTTTAAATTATTTAAGTACAGGTTTATATTTACAATTTAAAATTTATCTTACCAAATTTTAAAACTGAAAGATACTCAATTAACCATGATAATACCGTGATGGTCTATAATTTATATATATGAAAAAAAGTTAAAAGTTTTGTTTGTTTTTTTCAATAGAAGATGCCATTAGAATTGGGAGGAAATAATCATTTCATTTTAAGAAATTACCATTCCATCCATCAAACTTGATGCTGAATTATTGAAGATTTCTAGAATAGTTTATGTCCTCCACATCAAAAGATTTACAATGATGTACAGACTTGAGATGATCCATTAATTGATCCAGCGTGGAGTATATACTGGCTGAAGTATCGTGTGTTTTGTCATCCACCATGAACTGATGGCAACAGCCATCGATTTCAATGCAGCTAATCGCTTTACACTTTTGTATCCCAGCGTCATCCATTATTTTCCTGATCTTTTTCATGTCATCCCATCTTTGAGACTCCGAATACATGTTTGAGAGAAGCACATAAAGGCCAGAGTCATATCGTCCCAACTCTAGCAACTGCTTCATGATTTGCTTTGCAATCTCCAGATTCCCATAGGTCCTGCAAGCACTAAGCAAAGCACCCCAAACTACAACGTCTGGTTTAACAGGCATCTTTTGTATCAGGGTCACTGCTTCTCCTATGAATCCCCCACGCCCTAAAAGATCAACCATGCATGCATAATGTGCAACATTTGGAGAAATCCCGAACGTAGAACTCATCAATTCAAAATAATATCGCCCCATGTCCACTAGACCACTGTGACTACAAGCAGAAAGTAACCCTGTGAAGGTAATCTCATCGGGACACAGCCCACTGGCTTGCATCCTCCTGAACGTCTCAATTGCTTCTTCTCCAAAACCATGCAAAGCAAGTGCCCCAATAATAACGTTCCATGACACCACATTCTTCTCAGGCATCCCAAAGAAGATGTCCATAGCAGTATGAAGAGCACCACATTTTGCGTACATGTCTATTAGGGAGTTACAGAGCGTCACACTCACTGTAATATTATTACCACAAATGTAATCGTGGGCTTGTTTTCCCAATGCCAGATCGCCCATGTGACTGCAGCATGAAAGAATGTTAACAAGAGTACCATCGTCAGGAATCACATCTGAAATGCACATTCTGTGGAAAAGTTCCATAGCTTCCGTGTAAAGCCCTTCTTGAACAAGGCACCAGATTATTGAATTCCAAGAAACCACGTTCTTCACAGGCATCTGATTAAAAATTTGCACAGCGTTATCAATAAGACCATGATTGGCATAAGCATTTACCATACATGTCCAAGAAACAACGTTTTTATTAAGCATTTTATCAAAAACACTTTTAGCATATTGTAAATGCCCTCACTTGGCATACATTTCTATTAGGGCATTCTTCACAATTGAATCAATTTGAACATCAGTAGTAACGATATAAAGATGAACAAATCTTCCCAAATCCAAATTACCATTCTTTGAGGAAACAGAAAGCAAGCTAACAAAGGTGAACACGTCAGGCTGTACTCCCTGATGTTGCATTTCCTCTAACAACATAACAGCACCAGAACAGTGGCCAATTTTAGAATACCCAGCAATCATAGAATTCCAGGATACCAGAGTCCTGTCAGAAATATCATCAAACACTTGCCGTGCACTTGGTATTTGACGGCAAGCAACATAGACAGTCAAAATTGAATTTTGCACGCATGCATGACACCTCATTCCGAGTTTAATGGCCTGAGCATGAACACTAACAGCTTCCCAATAGAAGGGTTTGGCAGCGCAAGCTTTGAAAACAAAGGGGAAGGTGAATTGGTTTGGCATAAGGCCCGCCCTCACCATTTGGCGGTAGAGCAACAAAGAATTTATTGGATCATCGATATTCGAATAACCCCTTATCAAATGATTGTACATGAATTTATTGGGTTGGGGAATTTGATCAAACAGGAGGTGTGCATAACGGAGATCTCCCTCTTGAACGCAAAGAGAGACTAGCTTGCCTAGGGTGACAACTTGGTCAGCAAGTCCAAGGAGGATGATTTGGGCATGTACAAGCTTGAGTTGTCTGAAGGAGGTGCTCTGATCCAGGAGATGGTGAAGGGTTTGATGAGTGGGTGACTTCAACTTGTGCCATATGGTTGTGCTGATCTGTGTTTGTAGAGAGCCAACGCAGAAAAGGCGGGAACCAACGGTCGCGTGTTTCAGTTTCAGAGTGGAGAACATCAAATAGAATTATCAAACCCAGTAATACTGAGGTACCAAATGTTCTTGTATCAATCCTATGTATTCATTTTTCTGTCGTTAATTGAAAAAAAAAACATAGACGAATACGCAAGTTAGATATGGACCTAACACCATGCTTTCCTTTCATGCGTTAAGTATTGTTGTTTTCGAAACATAATAACGTTTAAAACTAAATAATAAAATGAAAATTAATGATTAATCAAACACAAAGATGTTTGAATAAATTGATTATTGCAATATTTGTCATAATTTTTTTCGTGCTTCAAACATAAAAGCAGCAGGGCTAAATGTTTACTATACATAAGTATTTATGGACGAAGTGAATACTAAAATGTTCATACAAGGTAGGTTTTGCCATCACTTCACTTAATAGTTGGTTGTTAACTACTTGTATTTGTACATTATAAGTGAGTAATTATCTTACTCATCATGAATAATTCTCCTGTGGATTAACCGAATCTTACTTATTATATAATGTTATATTTTATCAGATTATAAAGTAAGAACTATAGAAAGATGTAACATGAGAATAAAACACTTGGTTTTGAATAATTAATATTATAATTGATTAATTCATTAAAAAATTTAGGTTTGTATTTATTTTAATTTCCTCATCAAGTATTATCTTAACCAAATTTCTCCTTAATTTTTATAATTAATAATGTGGATCATTTAAAAAAAAAGATAGATTCAATTTCAGCCCAAAAAAATTGTTAAAAGTAAAAAAAAATACTTATAAGATTCAATAGTTTAATCGTAAGTAATAATTACAGTTGAATAACACAAGATATTGTATATAATGTGCGTAAGGTTGAGACTAAGATCAGGTTTGAGCTTTCGTTTTCTCCATTCTTTTGTGAGGACGAAATTATATTAGTTTTCTCTTGTGTTGAATGCATCGATCATTCCAAATACGAAAGTAATAACACCGTATCCAAATGTCCATGTTCAAGAAACTGATCCAACCTCGGATGTCATGACAGACTCTCCAACATGACATTCCGTTTATGTTTAAGAACCAATAGCTTATTTTACGACAGCTTTGTAGAATACGCGATTGTTTCCTACAATCTAAGATAGGTTCCAACAACAAGCACTCATAGGCAATCAGATTGCCACAAGTGAGTATGAATTCTCGAAAATGTAACTAGAGAGAATTTAATTTTGGACATTATTATAATCGAAGTCGTTATAATATACATACATGGTAACGCTCTGAGTGCTTCGCAACAAGTTACAAGAAAATAGAATTACAGCATAAAAAAACATGTCTATGACTCAAGCTGCGCATACCAGACACCTTGGATCTTCACATCCTTAGGAGCTTTAGCCCCCAAATCAGTATCAGAAGGCTGAATACTCTCAAACACCCCAATAACCTCTCCAGTCTCAGGCTTGGTCTTGGTCACACTCAAGGTAATTTTCCCTTTGGAAGATGAAGCACTTTTGTTGTTCTCCTTTGCAAGCTCCTCCTCATCTCCTCTGCCACCAGCAGGCAAAGCAACAGCATTGTCATAACCGGTTGAGGCACCCCTTCCCTTGGGGTCCAAGAAAGAGGAACCACGGTAAGAGGGAACAAGGAAGTCCCCACTGAAGCTTTCTGGTTTCCCAGTGGCCACCAACTGCTTGATGGTGAAGAGGAACGGCACACGCTCTCCCCCGGGAAGCTGAACAGTCACAGCAGCGTAGTCAATCCCGTCTTTCTCCTCGAATTTCACCGTTCCGTCGGGTGAAACCTCGAAGGGGCCCTCGATCTCGTCGAGGGTGTAGGTGAGACGGGTCATGAGCTTGGTGTTTTGGAACTCTAGAGGGGCGTTCTTGGCCACACCCTCTGCCTTCACCGTGAAGGAAGTGGGTTCCAGACACAGCTTCTTGGCGTTGTATTTGCCTGCCTTGAAGGCGAATGAGTCCACTCCACCATCGATGGTTGGGCACTGGTTAGCAGTTCCAGTTCCCTTCACTTCCAGATATGTCTTGCTCTGGATTTCGTCGAAGGTTAGCCTCTTTGGAACACCTTCTGCACTTGCTCCCTGAAATTTCACACTCACTTCTGTTATTCATTCATTCCTACTTTTATTACTTGAATAATTTGCTGAATAAGCAATCCTACAAATACCATTTCTCATACAACATTTCATGAAATTCTAACTTGGTATGCATGGTGTGAATGAATGGAAATAGTGATGCTGGTTTAATTTGTTCGAATAAAAGGGCAGTAACTGAAGATGGTAAAGGAGAGAGAAAGGAAAAGCAAGTAAAACATACAGAAACTAGGAGAGCCGAGGTGGCAAGGGCGAATCCTGCAAGTTTGGTGGCGTCGGCGCACTTTTGAGCCAGGTCTTTGAGATCAGACTGAAGAGAGCAGGTGAATTTAGGTCCGGCGGGTTCCAAGCCGAAAGCCTTAGAGATGCATTGAGAAGATTTGAGGTTGCGGGAGGTTAAGCCCACCTTGGTGGGTTGCATGAAGGTAGCTGCAGCTTGTAGTGAGGCTGCCATTGATGCTGGTGCTAGGTGCAGCCACCAAAGTATTTGTGTTGATATTGAAAGATTTGCAAGTGGTTGTTGTGAGTGATGAATGGCAGAAAATGGAGGCAATAGGAGTATTTGGTGGCTGTGGTGCGAGTAAGATTTCCGATAGGATAAGGCCAATTCTTATTGGATCACTCAAGCTAATGTCAATGTTTTTCTTGTTGCCACGTTACAACCTTCTCAATTAGGATCAAATATAGTTTCTGTCACAGATAAACTCAATAACTTCTCCAATTTTCCCTTTCCACTTTTACTAGTAACTTTTTATTATTATTATTTAAATAATAAATCTTCTTTACTGATTAATTCTTAGCAAAATAGGTTAATTTTCTTGACTGACAATGTGATTAAGAAAAATATCTCAATTTTAAAGAACACATTTTTATTTTACAAACTTATTATTCATTGTTTATTTTGTTTCGTTCCACGAATGGTGTTAAAGGCATGCGCACCGATAAGTCCATAGAGCTTAACAAAGTCTACTTTGGATAAGCACGTTTTTCCCTTCACCGTGATATTATAGATGTACTCAATCAGCCTCATGCACAGCAGGAACCATGCCTATATTTTGTGAGAAAATGATTGCTAAAAAGTAAATATTATTTAACACATACATATGGCAAAGAATAAAATAAAATAACTTTCTATATGACTCACGGAAATAAATAAACTATTCTTACATTTACATAAAAAGTTGAGAAAAAGAAAAAGCTTCGTCGTAATCAACTTTAGCATCCTGTGGAGGGAATTGATTTCAAAGGAAATGGAAAGTGATCATATATAGAAAAAAGCAGGATAGGAGAAACAGGTTTGCACCATGTTACTAAAAGTATTTTACATCACTAAAACAAAAATATTATTTTTATTTTTCCCCTCGTTCTGATTTCAAACTTAGAAATTTTCGGTATAAATGGTGCTTTTATAAGGAAACCCTTCCATAGAAAGTTTTAAAGCATTAAATCCTCGGTTGAGGAGCTTAAAAAGAATGCAAAAAGGGAGACAATTCCAGACCACCATCCACCACATGAACTAGTTATGCCTCCATATCAGGGCCTTGAACTTCAACATCCATAATCCATAAAAACCTTTGACATCCAAATGAAGCGTTGATTCAACTTATGACCTTATGATTTAATTTAGTATCGAGCTAATGTCTTAACCAGGATAAATATGATCACAACAACAACGGATTTAAGTCTAATTTCTATCTCCATTAGCCAAATTTGAAATAACTTTGCCATATTGTAGGGAACAAGGCACAGAAAACAACATGGTAAACATGCTCGGCAGATTACGGTGCTTACTGTCAGTACAGATCACTTCCTCTGATGTTCGGACAATGTCCCTCCCCTGATGTATCTTGTAGAACTTAAATTTTGGTGTTCTACTCTTCCGAACAGCCTTGAACACGGGGTTAAAATGCTATCTTCCAATTTTGCTTCCTAGATGGTGTATACCCAGCTTTAACAAAGTAAACTTCATGGTCTACATTTTGATACTAACACAGGTGAAAACGATATGCCAACCTCTCTTGGCGAGTACAAATACCCAACATTCCCTGCATGATACATCATACCCAACAAAGTTCGACCACACCTCATGCTTGAAGTGGCATCTTGATAGGGGTAATGACAAATTGATCTCATTATTATAACTTATTCCTATTTAGCTTCATTCTGCATTCAAAGTCCACTATTAACATTTAATCCAATATTAACCTTTAAAATTAGAATAAATTCTAAAGATACAGGTTCAAATATAGTAAGATCGAAATACAATTCCAAACATGTTTAATTGGTAGGTTATGCAAATTTAAAGATTTCATGAAATAATAAAGCAAGCAACCATTACCCAGCTAATTTAACTATTACTCAGGCAATGTGTTAGCTTACGTACATATTCAGATCATCATTAATATTACCTAACTTCAAAATCGAATAAAAAATAGAAATATGTACTTGTCATTTTGGTTTGAATTTAATTACAGAGAATTTGAATTTAAACAAAAAAGCGAATCTAATTTTCAGTAAACTATCATTGTAGTGTTATCTAACATATGTTTAGGGGATGAAGTTATAAAAGAGAAAGACAGTAGCTCAAAAGTGCTTGAAATGCAATCATAGATAAACTCAACAGAAACAAAATATCGTTCTCATCACAGCCACTTAATGGTCTTTCTCTATCTTTTCCATGTAAAATTGAAGAAAAAAATTAAAAGAAAATACACCATGAACGAAAACATGATAGGCATTCAGAATGAGTAGGAGGATTGTATTCATCATATGAATTATCATATGAAAATATTCGTAATCAATCACCATGCCATTATAGAAAAAAGCCCTAATCTCATTTAAAAAAATAAAAAACTAGAAGCATGCAAAAGATTAAACACCCCACGCCCCCAAAATAAAGGATGCAAAGAACAGTGGAAACCTCTCAGACAAATGCCTCGATTGTCATCAGAATTTTAAAGAATGGAATATAGATCGGACTCGTCATCATTTTCATCATCACAGAGAAAACCACACATCGCATCCTGTTCCTCAACCCAAATTTAACCCCCAAACAAGAATAATAAAATCGAATACAGTAATAAAACAAAAAAAACACAACACAAACACAAACATATCTCACGAATAGAAGCACAAATGCAGAGGTTGGATTTGGTAGAAAAAAACGGTGGTCACGGTTCCTTGAAGATGCAGAATATGCTTCGACTTTATAGGCCAGCAGGTTCCGTTTTGAGGTATTAGGGTTTTGCATTACCGTTAGAGTTTAATGGGCCTTTGACTGAGCTTATTGGGCCTAGCGACAAAATTAATTTATCGGCATGAAATTGCACCAAAAAGTGTAAAGTAGAGAATATTTTTCCATTAACAATTTTTTAAATAATATTATCATAATAATTACTCTTTAAGTGAATATAATATATATATATATATATATATATATATATATATATTGTAAGAAAATCTTTCTTTTATTGATAAATATTGCCTATATAAAGTGGATTTTGAGTATTATATTGTTTGTTTTGTATAATTACGAGTTTGCAAACTTTGGTCCGTTGACATGGATTAAAAAGAATAATCAGAGTGATGACAATTATTTTACGTCAACCCCAAAATATAAGAATGTAGTAAATATATTAGTTAAAAATTTTAAAAAATAACATTTGATGCAAGTAAATAAAAAACATTATATCAATAAAATAATAAATAAAAATAAGTAATCATGTGTAAAAAAACAATTATAAATAATGATAATAAAAAAACATTAAAAAAATATTGGAGAGAATATAAAAAAAATTGTTTGACACCAAAAAAATCAGTATACAATACATTGTAGGTGCAAAGTTTTTATATTTATAAAGAAAAAATGGATAAAAAATAATAAAAGGTAATGTGTAAAAGAAATTTGGCGTCAAAATATAATTGTGCAACTTAAAAAGTCAAAACCACAAGGTAAAAACAAAAACTCTTGTGAAATTCAAAAAGAAAATGAGAAGAAATATGAAACAGTACCAACCCTAAATTATTATGAGTTTTTGTCCTTTTGAAAACTTGAACTTGGTAGTTATGCGGATACGTATATGTTGGTGAATGCCGTAACAGGGAGTAACAACGTTTGAAGGAGGATCAGTGGTGTTTAATGGAGAAGTGAAATTCGTTGAAGGATCTGGTTCGTGCCGTCAAAAATGATTTTGTGCTGCCTATATAGATAAATGTTAATTTTTTTGGATTAAAATATATAATAAAATTAATATTGTAGACATATTACGCATATTTCAATAGCAATTTTTTATTGATTAAATAATTTCATTATTATATTTATGTTTAGTGAATTTGCTATATAATATAGTGGAGAAATGATAACTTTTTAATAAAATAGTTTTTTTTTTATCTTGTTCTATCTTATGTTTAAAGGTTTCAGCTTAATAGCTCATGTAAGTTATTCAAATTTTCTATAATCTTTATACATTTTTATATTTTAAATTAAGAAAAAATGTATACCACAACAAAAACTTCTAAAGATTAATTCAGGAAAACTAAAAAATCAAACGAATTGTAACAAACACACTACTTAAGTAGTGCATCTAGCTAAGTTGTTTTTAAATTTACATTAACAACTTATTTAAATGTATAAAAAAGAAATAGAAAAAGGAGGGAAGGGTTGATTGATTAAGAAAAATATTTATTTAGACATTAATCAAACAGATAAATTGAAATTAAACTCTGACTGAAGGAAAATATTTATACGAAATAATTTTGTTACTGTATTAAAAATGATTTATAATCGAAAGTTATTATTGTAATTTTTTTTAAATGATTTTTCACTGTTTTGTTTTATGTATTTAAAAAAAACAATTAAAGAAAGAGTTTATAAAATGCATGTGTGATATTTGTAGTTAGGAACAAACAAGAGAGGAACAGGGACAAAGTTAAGCAAAAACATAATATAAAATTATGAATAATAAAAAATACTGTCAAATTATTTTTAATGTATAGTTATAGTTGTATATAATATATATATATATATATATAAGGTTTATATGTAATATAGTGTATCAAATTTTAGTTGTCAATATATTTTTATATATTATGAATTTTAAATTTTAGGGTTAAAAATATTTAAATATTTTTTATTTTTTATTTTAAATTAAAAATAAAATTATTAAAATACTTTCGTGTTTCAAATATATTTATTTTATAAATAGAGATTTTTCTTATCAATTAAAATTTGGATTTGGTATAGGTTACAACATCTTCCTGAAATGAACCTGACACTGTGTCGACAACCTCCCAGATTTACAGCATAACATTGCCTCCCTTCCTATGCAATCTGAACAGACGTGTGATGATCCTTTCCTAATACAGTTTTACGAACAATGCATGTAACCTTTTCAGGAGAAGGTAATTTTGATTTGCAACTGTTTGATGGAGTATTATAAGAAATGAAAACCGATTATGAGAATTTTTTAGCCAATTATGAATGGTGTCTCTATTTTCATACCATTTTCTAAATGGTGTCTCTAATTTTTGTGAAAATTTGATTTTAGTATTGTTTTTTATCAGTAAAATCAAATATATTAAATAAGGATAATTGAGTTGTTTCATCTTATACACAAATGTATAAAATATAAATAAAAAATACCTACATAACTTTTTCTTCTATACGAGATTGTGAAAATTGTTCTGGTTAAGACATAAAACTAAATTTTACATATTTATATATATATAACAATCTCAATAGGATGTACTCTGCATATATGTATAAAACATGATCCATAATTTTCTCCATCATTCTAAATTGCTTTCACCACAACATTTAAGCCAAAAAAAAATATTAAAAAACACAGTCAAGGAACCCATAACAAAAGCCGCCGCGATATCATAAACAAAACCCAAACAATACTTGTTGGTGACAATCACTGACTATATTTTTCAACGTCTGTTAAAAATTAAAAGATTTTAAGATATTAAGTTTAGAGTTATTATGTTATTGTAACGAGAAAACGTGAAGAATTAAATACTTATTTTTTACTGATATCGTGTGTATATTATAAAATTTAATAAAGTAACAGAAAGAATTTTGTTTTGAACTAAGTTTATTGGATAGAAAATTTAAATATAGAATAATTCGTTTAAAATGTATTTTGATTGCTTAAATATAAAATTTAAATTCTATAAAAATTAAAAAATAAAAATGCATCTCTTCTACACCACTTTATTCTATAACAATAAGGAATACGGTGAAAGGATATTTTAAATGATAGTGAAGTGACAAAAATCAATATTACTAGTTGTTTCTATAATGTGACTGAAAATTCAAGCAATGAAAGCTAGCATAGAAGAAACATCAAGTCCTATAAGACTAAAAACAAACTGAAGTTCTCAACAAACTTCAAAAAGTTAAGTTACTAAATTAAACTCATGTGACGAATGTTAAGTATAAATCAAGATCACTGATACGATTTAGTCTCATGAATTGAAAGCAACTTTTTATTTTAAATTAAAAGACAAAAAAATAAAAAGAATAATTGAAGTACCAAAATAAATATTATCCACATTTAAGTCTGTTACTTGTAGTGATTAATTTTATATGGCCTCTATTATATATACTATTAAGACAAAATTTAAATTCTAATGAAAGAATATCATTAAAAAACATATAAAAATATGTGTTATTCAATTTTAATTCGATCTAATTTAATAAAAAAATTAAGTATTCACAATGATTTAAATTTGGGAATGAATCCTTAATTTTTTTTAAAGTGATAAAATGACTGTCAAATGAGACACACGATAAAATACAAATGACTGGTTTTGATTGTTTGAGAGAAGGATTGTTTTAAAGAGTAGAAATAAACTTTGATAACATTTTAATATTATTTATGTGTAATTGATTCAAAATTATTCTACGATTAATAATAATAATTATAAATACTAACATGAATTAATCATTATAATAATAATAAACATTAATATTAAAATGACACTGATATTAATATGTTATAAAATAATATTGTGACGGTATCTTATCATTTTAAAAAACAAATATTTAAGTGAAAGATTCCTGTATGCACTCCAATCACCTAGAAAGGCGAGTCATTATGCAATTTACCCATTCATCAAAAATTATTTGCAGTGTATTTTTATTAATAATATTATTTGAAAAAAGTTTTCTGACACCACTTACCCTATTAACAACCCATTTTTAAAAAAAATTAGTTCATTAAAAAATAATTTTTTATATTTATAAAAAATTAAAAAAAGAAAAAACAAATATAAAAGGTGTATAAAAATTTATTGGGTGTATTTACAGGTAAACACAATGTGGGCACAAACGACATAGAACCATTCTACTTCAGCACCAGTGGAACCCATTATCACGCATTCCAAAGTCCAATCATATTCTCACGTGTCATCCAGCAAGGTGTTTTACTAGGGTGCTACTCTACTTATTGTTCACGATGAGGACGCCGGTGGGGCCTACCCTCGCGCTTGTCAACCACCGTTGTCCGCTCATGGGAATCACAAACCTGCGTTTTGAACTTGCAACCGAACTTCTTACCCAAAGCGAGCCACGCCCCGCCGCCTTGTGGGCCCGTCCTGTCCATCTTCTCAATCACCCGTTTCATCGAAGAACACTCTCGTTCTAGCTGATGCACCCGCGACCTCATGCTATCCATGTCCAAGCGAAGCACTTGATTCTCCCTCACCGTTACCTGCCACGTGTTAATATCGCCGCCATCGTACGTGTATCCTTCCCCTGTTCCACCCCCGTCTGCATCCTTCGACGGCACCGAAAGCCTTGCCGGCTCCT